GGTGATGTCTAGGTCATAAGGACTAATGGTGTACAACTATACCATAGATATCTCTACTCGATTATTGGGAACCACTTAGAGATTTCTAGGGTGAGGGAGTTCAGTGAACTCGTCAACTTACGAGCACCCACTTATGCATGCCGATATCACAATACCGTTTACTGATGAGATGCAGTACACATACACTAAGTGCTAGTCTTAATGGGAAAGGCCGATATCCTCATTAGTGGCGTAACCCTTCGACTAGGAACACTTTTAACAGTTATAATACTTGAGTAAATATCTCACGATCCTAACGATCAATTACTAGTACTTGTAATAACTGTAAGGACTATATCTATGCTTGTGACAAAGGGACAAAGATATAAAATGCCAATGTGTTTTATCATTAATACGAATAAAGGTTCGTTTATTACAATAATAAATACGAAAGACCACAGCCACAAGTTGGCTTGTTGGTCACCTACTGATGCTACTTCGATGCTAACGAATCAGCCCACTTGTCTTGAGGCCCAACGAGCTGGTCTTCAAGTACGAGAATGTCGGGGGTTCTTTGCCACGGGTCGAAGGGGTCGAAAGGTGGGCTCCACTTGATATCCTACAAAACAAATTAAAACACTATGTGACTCGTCGGGGGTGGGCCCGACGATTACACTCCGACGCTCAAGTCAGATATTGGAAATGATACTTTGCAAAGGCTAAAATATCACCCAAATTAGAGATAGATATACAAATGAATCATACCTTATATTTATAGGAGGAATAGACTACTAGTTTGTTGTAAACTTCCGATGTGGGACAATTGTGCTTGAATATTAGCTCTAAGTAGATTTTCCCTCTAATTGGGCCAAGAAACCTACTTAGGCTCATCATTAAGCCCCCCACTCCCAATATGGGCCATAGGAGGATGGCCCATCTTGGGAGTAGTATAAGTAGAAGTAGTTGGTGCACTTTCATTAAGTAACATTTGACTTGAACTTTGGAGAGCACATTTGTAGAGAGAGAATTTCTCACTTTGAAGACTTTGACCAAGGTAAGAGAAAATCCCTCTCTTTCTTTAACTCTTCTTCTCCCTCTTCTCTCTCCTTTATCTTATCCTCTATTTCTTTTCTTTGTTCTTCACTCTTTCCCATTCCCCCTTGTAATTACTACATACATATATATTCTTCTTCCCTTTTTCTTTCTCTTTTTTTTTTTGGGGTTGAATGGGTTTGACTTGGTTGGATGAGTCAAGTGATGAGTCGATGGAAGTAGGGGGAGAGGGGGAAGACGGCGGAGGGAAGGAGGACTTTGGTGGCGTTGGCGGCGGTTTGGGAGGAGAGGGGTGCCCGGATCGTAGACAAAATTCGACGGGGCGAGGGGCGTCGGGTCGAAGCCCTTCGGGTCGAAAAGCAACCGGGCCGGGGTTTTTGGTCCAAGAGTCGTCGGGTCGGTGCATTGTGGGGCGAGAGGCGTCGGGTCCGGGTATTGCGGGCCGGGAGCCGTCGGGTCCGAGAGTTACGGGTCGGAAGCCGTCGGGTCCGGGCGTAGTGGGCCGAGAGCCGTCGGGTCCGAAGCCATCGGATCCGGGCGTAGTGGGCCGAAAGCCGTTGGGTCCGAAGCCGTCGGGTCCGGGCGTAGTGGGCCGAAAGCCGTTGGGTCCGAAGTCGTCGGGTCCGAAGCCGTCGGGTCCGAAGCCGTCGGGTCCGGGCGTAGTGGGCCGAAAGCCGTTGGGTCCGAAGTCGTCGGGTCCGAAGTCGTCGGGTCCGAAGCCGTCGGGTCCGAAGCCGTCGGGTCCGGGCGTAGTGGGCCGAAAGCCGTTGGGTCCGAAGTCGTCGGGTCCGGGTGTAGTTGGCCGAAAGCCGTCGGGTCCGGAGGCCGAGGCGAGTGGGGCGGCCGCCGTTGTTGATCCGGAGATTGATTTGGAAGACCCGGAGCATTGGGCATGGTCTCAAAAGATTGATGTGTTTGGAACAAATCGCAATTTGCGGAAATTAAAAAGGCACAAGGCGACGACGAAAAACAAAGAGCTCGATTCTATTGGTCCATTTCTCTCATCTTGGGGCGATGGCGTTCATGTCCTTAGCTCGGATTACTCGAAGGGGAAAATCGTTCGACAACATTTTATCCGAATGGATGGTCGGCTTTCGCCGTTCGCGCCTACCCCGCCGCGGTCGCCGTCGGTGGAATCGTTGGAGTTGGTTGATGTGGGGATAGAGGGTAGTGATGATGGGAGTTGCTCGAGTGAGTTGGGGTTGCCAAAAGTGACGTCGGATGAGGGCATTGGGCCGAGTGAGAGACTTGATCGAGATCTCTTGAAGGAGTTAGATTTTGACACTTTGTTTGCTACGGATAAATTGGCGGATATTCGCGATTGCCTTGGGGTCGTTGGAGACGTGGAAATTAGAATGCCGGCTAAGGGTGATAGGTGTTATGCTCCGCCGGGTGGCTTCTTTACCTTCTATGGTGGCCCTTTCAAGGTTGGCTTTACTCTACCGCCAAATCCCCTCCTTGTAGAAATATGTCAAGGTGCCGGGATTTGTATTAGTCAACTAACTCCAAATGCTCACCTATATTTCCTTGGTTTTTGCCATCGAGCGGAAGTTGCACAAGTTCCGGTATCCGCCGAATTGTTCCATAGTTTGTTTATCGTGAGGCCGTTACTATCGGGGGGGGCGCATTTTCATTTTTACCCCCGGCCCCCGTGCAAGTTCTTGCTAAAAGGTAACTATAAATGGGGCGATTGGAAAATGTGGTTCTTGTACGCTCGAGATGTTGAGGGGTTAGTTTCGTCAAAATGGGGTGGTGGTTGCCCCGTTTTGGTGACGGAAGAGATGCTTGGATATCAAATGTCGTGCGAAGGGATCGGGTTTTTTGAAAAGCCGTTCGACCCATGGACTCTAATTCCTCGGGGTAGACTTGACACCATTTTTCTTAGAAACAATCTCATTTCCTTCTTCCCCTTTTATTTATTAGTAGTCCACTTGATTAATATTATTTACTTAACTTTCGTTTAAAATGCTCTTGCTTCCTCGTGGTTTTTAGGTGAAAGGATGAGCTACTCGGAGTTGAAGAAATACCGTGCCATGAGGGATGAGGAATTAGCTAAGGTTGGTCGGCGGGACTCGTTACCGGTGTCCCGGTCGAAGTTCACTAAACCCTCGACGGGGCGGGACAATGATAACCGAAAGGGATCGGATAGCCAACGAAGTAATGAAAGGATGCCGACCGATGGCTTGGGTGGATCTCGGAGCGTGCCGTCGGCGGGGGTGGCCGATGGGCGCGCGGGTGGTGGGCGGCGGCCGACGGCGAGTGGGGCTCGACCGGAGTCGGCGGGGTTTATATTGCCTTCTCCCATCGTCATTTCTCGTACTTCCTCTACTTCCTCGAGGGAAAAGAGGGTTCGATCTTTGGAGGACGGCGGGTCGGTCTCGGACTTAAGAGAGAAAAGATTTTGCGCCGCCGAAGTGGTTACTCCGTTGCCCGCTAAGGGCCCGGCTATTGATCCGGATCCGACGCCTTTGCCTATGGGAGCCGGGAAAGGGTATTTCCTTTCGGGGACCAATCGAAACTTTGGCGGCGGCTCGGTTTTCGATACACTTGATGATAGCTTGGCGGTGGAGAAGGTGTTGAGCTTCCCGACGGAGTTTGATAAAGCCCGACTTGCGTCGAAATCGTTTGATGAAATGATGGGTGGATTGGGAGGAGACCTCTCCCGGGTAAGAAAACGGCGGCCTCAAGGGGTCTCTTGAAGAAGAGAAGAATAAGTTGGCCAAGTTGGAGAAGAAATACAAACAACTATTGGCCCTTTGGGAGAGCGAGAAGAAAGAGCGTCGTAATGCCGAGGCGGGGCGTAAAGAATTATGCGCCGAATTGGAGAGAGAGAAGTTAGAGGCTACCTCCTTCTTGTCGGCTCATAGTGGGTCGGCCGGGGTGTTGGAGACCCCGTTGGGTATCATGGTGATTGAGCAATTTAAGGCGAGTCCTATTTTTGCAAAGTTGCAAAATGAGTATGCGGACAAATTCTTTGATGAAATCGTCCGGGATTGCCGCCAACAAGGCCGTCGCTTGGGCGTCGCCGAGGAGATTTTGAAGGCCATAGAGCCTAGTGTCTTGGAGGTCGGGGAGATGATTGGGGCACTTGACGATGTGGTCGCCCGGGAGGAGCTCATTCATGCCGCCGCGCCGACGGTGGAGGGTGATCCCGCCACTTAGGACTTAGTATATATATTATATATATATATATATATTCCCTTTTGCGATAGGTGCTCGTATGAGAGCCGTAGTGCCTTTATTTTTGATATACGTGCTCGTATGAGAGTCATGTAGTACCTTTATTTTTGATACACGTGCTCGTATGAGAGGCGTATTATTGCTAGGGCGTGGTCTAGCTCTTATTTTGTCGGGTTGCCTTGGATATACCATTGGCTTCCTCTTTGCTCCACCATCTATATATATGTTTTTTATTTGTTATTATTATTATTTTTATTTTTAGAAGGTAATGTCCTTAACTAAAAAATGTGCGCTTTTGCTATATGAATGGATTGTTTCAATCGCTCTTCAATTTTGCAATTCTCGTGCCCTTGTTACATAGTGGTTGATCAGACCACTAAGTTTTTTTTTTTTTTGGGGAGGCCGCTCGTACGCCTATGTTTCGATATGAACATTTTATGGCGGGGAGGGGTCCCTTGGACTTTTAGCCACTGTTTGTTTCGCTATTGCAGAGGCTATGGGAGGGAAATAACAAAGGCCGAGCTGGCCAAGCCCATATGGCCGATGGTATTTCCCTCTCTACCCCACGTTTTAGCGTTGGACCGTTGATCAACTTTCTACCAATTTTACTGAGTGTGTCGATAAAGGGAAGTATAAGAAAGGTACGGCGGGCAGCATGCCCCCGGGAACCACTTCATTAATAATATGGAGAAAATGCGGCGGGCGACATGTCCCCGACTCGTTCGTAAAAAGCGGAAATAAATAAGTAGCGGGCCTCGCAGGGCCAGTGGTTGGGAAATGGAAACCTTCTAAGAAAAATATTTCTTCAAATTACCGACATTCCAAGTCCTCGGCAGGTGGCGTCCATCCATATGCTGGAGGCGGTATGCTCCTGCATTGACAACTTGGGTTATTTTGTACGGTCCTTCCCATTTTGGATCTAATTTGCCCACGGCTTTGGAGATTCCAACCTTTCGGAGTACTAAATCTCCGACCTGAAATGTTCTCGGCTTCACCCGTTGATTATATGCTTGCGCCATTCTAGCCTTGTAGGCCGCCGCCCGGGTTGACGCGGCCTCCCTCACTTCCCCTAGGAAATCTAGACTGGCCCTGACTGCTGAGTCATTATGCTGGATTGAGTAGTTCGCGACTCGCCATGAAGGTTGTCCTATTTCGGCCGGAACCACTGCCTCCATTCCGTATGCGAGATTGAAGGGAGATTCTCCTGTTGAACTCCGTGGGGTTGTGCGATAGGCCCACAACACGCTCGGCAACTCCTCAACCCAAGCGCCCTTGGCGTCTCCTAACCTCGTTTTTATGTGTTGTAGGATTGTCCTGTTTGTTACTTCGGTTTGACCATTCGCCTGCGGGTTTCCCACCGAAGTGAAGAATTGCTTGATCGAAAGCCCTTCACACCATTGTGCCACCTTGTCCCCGCAGAATTGGGTGCCATTGTCCGAAATTAAGGCGCGGGGTATTCCGAAACGGCAGACGATATTTCTCCAGAGAAATCGAATGACGTCGGGTTCTGCTATCTTGGCCAGAGGCTCGGCTTCTACCCATTTAGTAAAGTAGTCGACTGCAACGATAAGGAATTTTCGTTGCCCTGTGGCCGGTGGAAATGGCCCTACCAAATCCATTCCCCATTGGGCGAAGGGAATTGGGCTGTCAATCGGGTGGAGCAAAGAACCCGGCAGGTGCGAGATGTTGGCATGTATCTGGCATGGTCGGCACTTTTCGACCAATGACTTAGCATCTCGCTGCATGGTTGGCCAAAAATATCCTTGTCGTAAGGCCTTCACGGCTAGAGCCCTTGCTCCCAAGTGATTACCACAGATGCCTTCATGAATTTCGCGCAAGACGTACTCCGCTTCCTCCGGGGCCAAGCATTTTAGGTAAGGGACCGAAAAACCTCTTTTATAAAGCTCACCTCCGATAAGTAGGAAACGGGCGGCTCTTATCTTTACTTTTCTTGCAGCCGCTCCATCTTGAGGCAATTCTGACGTAGAAAGATATTTGGTTATCTCGTCTTTCCAGCATGGTGTGTTGCTGGAGCAGAGGATTTGCGTGCTTGACTCGATTTCAGGGTGGCCCGATGACAGAAATGTGACTCGTCGGCTGTCGATTTTTGACATAGAGCTGGCCAACCGAGCTAGTTTATCAGCCGCTTCGTTTTCAGCTCGGGGCACCTGTTTGACCTCCACTCTCTCAAAGCCGGCTATGAGCTTGTGCACAAGGTCTAGGTACTTAACCATTTTCTCGTCTTTGGCTTCGTACATCCCCGTGACCTGGTTTACCACTAGCTGTGAGTCGCTATAGATTAACAAACTCCTAGCTCCCGCTGCTTGAGATAATTTCAAACCGGCTACGAGGGACTCATATTCGGCTTCATTGTTGGATGCCGGGAATTCCAACTTAAGGGCATATTCCATGGTGTCGCCTTCTGGACTTTGAATGAATATCCCGGCCCCACTGCCGCCAATGGTGGAAGATCCATCAACGTGAAGGGTCCAAGTTGGGGAAGAGCACGTTGCCTTGTTTGACACCATCTCCACCAGGAAATCCGCAAGGACTTGCGCCTTTATGGCTGGTCGGGACCGGAAACTTACCCCATATTCACTTAGCTCGATTGCCCACTTGGCTAGCCTACCTGACGTCTCGGGGCTTCGAAAAACTTGTTTCAAAGGGAAATTTGTCAAGACCACTACCTGGTGGGATTGAAAATAGGGTCGTAGCTTCCGGGCTGCGGTGACTAGTGCTAAAGCGAGCCGTTCTATCCCCGAATACCGTTGTTCGGCCCCTCGGAGGGCCCGACTGACATAGTAAACAGGTTGGTGCCCTTTCTCTCCCTCGCGTACCAAAACTGCACTGACTGCCTCTGACGTAGTTGCTAGATATAGCAGAAGCTCATCTCCCTCTCTGGGCTTGGTCAGGAGAGGGGGTGACGCCAAGTACTGCTTGAGCTCCTCAAAGGCCTTTTGGCATTCCTCTGTCCACTTGAAGTTTTTACCTTCTCGGAGTACCTTAAAGAAAGGGAGTCCTTTCTCGGCCGAGCGGGAAATAAACCGGTTTAGCGCGGCCAAGCATCCATTCAACTGCTGGACATTCTTGATTGATTTTGGCGGAGACATATTGATGAGAGCATCGATTTTGGCGGGATTTGCTTCTACGCCTCGTTGTGAAATCATGTATCCCAGAAACTTCCCTCCTCTCACCCCGAATGTGCACTTTGAGGGGTTTAACTTTAACTTGTACTCCCGTAGGATGGTGAAGCATTGATCTAAATCTCGCACATGACTCGAGGTCTTTAGGCTCTTGACAAGCATATCATCTATGTATACCTCCATATTGCGACCAATAAGTTTGCCAAACATAGTGTTCACAAGTCTTTGGTATGTGGCTCCTGCATTTTTGAGTCCGAAAGGCATCACCTTGTAACAGTAGATGCCCTGATCCGTAACAAAGCTGGCCTTCTCCTGATCCTCCGGTGCCAACTGAATTTGGTTATACCCTTGGTACGCATCCAAGAAGCTCAAAAGTTCACATCCCGAGGTGGAGTCCACCAATTGGTCTATTCTTGAGAGTGGGAAAGGGTCCTTTGGGCATGCTTTATTGAGGTCTGTGAAATCTACGCACATGCGCCACTTGCCTCCTGCCTTAGCCACGAGGACAACGTTAGACAACCACACCGGATATTGGACGGGCCTAATGTGTCCGGCTGCTAAGAGTTTGTCAACTTCTTCTTTGATATGTTTGTTCCGCTCGGGGCCAAAGGTTCTTTTCTTCTGCTTAACGGGTCTAAGGTTTGGGTTGACGTCGAGCCGATGTAATGCCCTGGAAGGGGGAACTCCTTCTAGGTCCGCCGCCGTCCAGGCAAATACATCGCCATTTTTCCGGAGGAATTCAACTAGGTCGGCTTCTGTCTTGGGGTCAAGGCTTGCTCCAACTCTGAGCAGTTTCTCTGGGTTGCCCGGGATTAGCTCTACTTCCTTAACCTCATCCACTGCCGCTAGTCTCATGCTTTCGTCGTGTTGATTAACCAACACCGTGGTGCGCTCATCTTCAACCGCCAACACCCATTTCCTCTTCAAGTGGCCGGGGGTGTCGTCTCCCCCACCTGTCTGATTCTTGGCTCGAAGTTGTGGCGTCTTCAGGGTATTTGCGTAACATTCACGGGCGATGCGCTGGTCACCTCTCACCTCCCCTATGCCATGAGGCGTTGGGAACTTGAGCTTCATGTGGTAAGTTGAGGGAATTGCCTTGAATATGTTGATGCTCGGTCGCCCCAAAATCACATTGTACGTAGATGGGGCTTTGACGACTAAGAAGTTTACGGTGTTTGTGACCCTTCGCGGAAATGAACCTATAGACACGACCAGAGGTATCTCTCCCATGGCCTCTACCACACTTCCACTTAATCCTACCAGGGGAGTCCTCACTGGCGTTAGTTTGGCGTTTGAAATTCCTAACTTTTCGAAAGCATCGTGGTATATGATGTCAGCCGAGCTCCCGCCATCTATCAGGATTTTCTTCACCAAATAATTGGAGATTGAGGCGGAGATGACCAAGGCGTCATTATGATCGTTGCGGGGTCCCTCGAGGTCGGCGTCCCCAAAAGAAATCTCTGACTCCGGTGAATAAATATGCAGCATCTGCCCTGCCGGGCGTTCTGACGTAGAGGTTGATCCGCTGACGGCCCTTATTAACGCTCGACGAGCGCTGGGCGTGTCGCCTCCCGCCGGGCCTCCGGAGATGACGGCGATGACGCCTTGCGTTGGCAAATTATCCTCTTCTCGGCCCTTCCGGGGCTCGCGTCGATCGTCCTTGCCTTGGAATTGGGGCTTTCCCTTGAACTTTTTGTTCGGGTGCTGGCTCACGAACTCTCCAAGGTGCCCTTTCTTTATCAACCTCTCAATTTCTTGTTTAAGTTGGAAACATTCGTCCGTCGTGTGTCCACGGTCCTTATGATACTCGCAGTATTTATCCGACTTGTTTCGCTTCGGATTTTCTTTCATGGGTCGGGGAGGAAGGATTAAGCCTTTTTGCTCTGCCACCACCCACACGTCCAATAGCTTGGCCTTTAAAGGTGTAAACTTGGGATGGGATGAAGGTCGGTCCAGGCGCCTTTCGTCTCTCCTCCTTGCCTCATACCGGTCTTCGTTGCGATTTTGAGGATAGAGCCTATCTTGATCATCCCGTTTTCGCTTTACGGGCAGCCCCATCTCTGTGGCTTCTTCAATTCGAATATACTTCTCAGCTCGACTAAGGAGCTCGTCTAAGGTTGAGGGAGGTCGACCGGCAAGGGAGTCCCGAAAGCGCGCGTGTCGCAAGTTCTTCATCAAGATGCCGGCCAGTAATTCATGGTTAACGTAATGCACCTCGTGCACCGCATTGACGAACCGTTGCACATAGTCTCTCAGAGCCTCGCCCTCGCGTTGTATTACCTTAAAAAGGTAAATTCCGGTTTTGGCGTACTTTTTGTTGATAGAGTACTGGCTAAGGAATTGCTCCGCCAACTGCGCCCACCCGTCGATGGATCCTCCAGGTAGTTTATTAAACCAACCCAACGCTTGGCCTGTCAAGGTGGTCTGGAAGACTTTGCAGTATGCCGCATCTGTGAGCCCGTAAAGGTCGACCTTTGCATAGAAGTTATTTATATGATCCTGAGGGTCTGCGCTCCCATTAAACTGTGGTAGGTCGGGAATCCGGAACCCGAAAGGCAAGACTTCTTCTAAGATGATCGGAATGAAGGGGCTTATTCTTGCTGGACGTGATCCCATTGGGAGGAGGGGCGCCTCGACCCGACGGCTTCTCGCATTACTGTCGTCGATCCTTGAGCGACGTTGGTCCCTCTCATCGCGCTGAGACATCATGCTCTCTTCTTCGGCTTGATCATGGCCTCCATGGCGGTTTGGACGATGGGGCCTCCTGCCCAGATGGCCGCGCTCGTCTCGACCCTGGGAGCGCGCCCTGCGCCGGCGGTCGACCCTTCGGGTGGGGTAGCTGGATGAAATGCTATCCGCCGGTGAATCGTGGCGTACGTTTCTTCGGGGTGCTCGGCCTGGGGATTGCCTAGGTTGTGGTGTTCAGCTTTGGGCATTCCTCGGGGAAGTTGAAAAGTTCCGGTCACTCAATGACACTCTCTCATTCTCCGATTCGTACGGTTCTACCATCGGCGAGGGCGGGTAGTTTGGAGGGGATATTGATAGGTCATTTGCTGCTGGGCTCGGCCTGTCTCCTTGGGCGACGCCTTGGGTTGCTAGGTAGTTTGCCACCGCAGCCGCCGCCGCCTTTGCCGCTGCTTGGTCCATCAATGCCTCTAATTCCTCCGCCGTTATCTGCAGAGCCGGCGGCGCCTCTCCTATTGGATTTGCCCCCGTCGTCCTTGCCCTCCGAGGCGGGTCCGGAATCTCGTATGCTTCCCGGGGAGGGAGTCCATCCGACCTTCGACCGCCTTCCTCCAGACCACGTGCTCTAGTCCGCATTCCCACAGACGGCGCCAAAATGATGCTACTTCGATGCTAACGAATCAGCCCACTTGTCTTGAGGCCCAACGAGCTGGTCTTCAAGTACGAGAATGTCGGGGGTTCTTTGCCACGTGTCGAAGGGGTCGAAAGGTGGGCTCCACTTGATATCCTACAAAAAAAATTAAAACACTATGTGACTCGTCGGGGGTGGGCCCGACGATTACACTCCGACGCTCAAGTCAGATATTGGAAATGATACTTTGCAAAGGCTAAAATATCACCCAAATTAGAGATAGATATACAAATGAATCATACCTTATATTTATAGGAGGAATAGACTACTAGTTTGTTGTAAACTTCCGATGTGGGACAATTGTGCTTGAATATTAGCTCTAAGTAGATTTTCCCTCTAATTGGGCCAAGAAACCTACTTAGGCTCATCACCTACTCTAACACAAAGAGTAAGAAAAGAGTTGCAGTTAGGAAAATAAAATCAAAATAGAAGAGAGGATCCCTCAACATCTTCGGTAGCGTCCACGAAGTCGAGCATAACTTTCTCATCCGGACTCCAAATCGACTGGTTCAGGCGGCATTAGAAAGCTATTTGAGCTGGCTACAATTCCTGTCTAATGTCAAATTTCCAAATTCGGACTCGAACATGGTCAAAATTGGATTCCAACAGCGATCATGAAAATACCCGCTACAGTTCGAGGACACGAATGCGCATCAAGAAACGTGCACAAAAACACTCGCTACAAAAGATACGCACATAAGTAAAAGTACAAAGTCATGCACAAAATTACTCACGCAAAACTGCATTCGCAAAAAGGATCATGAAAACGCAAACTACAATCCTAGGACATTAATACAAATCAACAAACATGCACAAACACACTCGCTCAAATGGACATGCACAAATGTACATGTAAAAAAACATGCGCAAAAGTGCATTCGCAACAACGTTCTTAAAAACACGAAGTACAACACGAGGACTTTAATACGCATAACCAAACAACAGCAAAAACACAAGATACAAAAGATACAGTGGAGTGTAGAAATAACACTCAACGTTTATGTTTACGTGGATTTTTTTATGGATTAATTTATATTTCTTTTTTAATTGGTGGATTTAGTATTCTATAGGTTCAAATTTATAATTAGGTGTCCATGAAGCGAAAATGATCAAAGAGTAAGAAAAGAGTTGCAGTTAGGAAAATAAAATCAAAATAGAAGAGAGGATCCCTCAACATCTTCGGTAGCGTCCACGAAGTCGAGCATAACTTTCTCATCCGGACCCCAAATCGACTGGTTCCGGCGGCATTAGAAAGCTATTTGAGCTGGCTACAATTCCTGTCTAATGTCAAATTTCCAAATTCGGACTCGAACATGGTCAAAATTGGATTCCAACAGCGATCATGAAAATACCCCCTACAGTTCGAGGACACGAATGCGCATCAAGAAACGTGCACAAAAACACTCGCTACAAAAGATACGCACATAAGTAAAAGTACAAAGTCATGCACAAAATTACTCACGCAAAACTGCATTCGCAAAAAGGATCATGAAAACGCAAACTACAATCCCAGGACATTAATACAAATCAACAAACATGCACAAACACACTCGCTCAAATGGACATGCACAAATGTACATGTAAAAAAACATGCGCAAAAGTGCATTCGCAACAACGTTCTTAAAAACACGAAGTACAACACGAGGACTTTAATACGCATAACCAAACAACAGCAAAAACACAAGATACAAAAGATACAGTGGAGTGTAGAAATAACACTCAACGTTTACGTTTACGTGGATTTTTTTATGGATTAATTTATATTTCTTTTTTAATTGGTGGATTTAGTATTCTATAGGTTCAAATTTATAATTAGGTGTCCATGAAGCGAAATTGATCAAAGAGTAAGAAAAGAGTTGCAGTTAGGAAAATAAAATCAAAATAGAAGAGAGGATCCCTCAACATCTTCGGTAGCGTCCACGAAGTCGAGCATAACTTTCTCATCCGGACCCCAAATCGACTGGTTCCGGCGGCATTAGAAAGCTATTTGAGCTGGCTACAATTCCTGTCTAATGTCAAATTTCCAAATTCGGACTCGAACATGGTCAAAATTGGATTCCAACAGCGATCATGAAAATACCCGATACAGCTCGAGGACACGAATGCGCATCAAGAAACGTGCACAAAAACACTCGCTACAAAAGATACGCACATAAGTAAAAGTACAAAGTCATGCACAAAATTACTCACGCAAAACTGCATTCGCAAAAAAGGATCATGAAAACGCAAACTACAATCCTAGGACATTAATACAAATCAACAAACATGCACAACAAACACACTCGCTCAAATGGACATGCACAAATGTACAATGTAAAAAAACATGCGCAAAAGTGCATTCGCAACAACGTTCTTAAAAACACGAAGTACAACACGAGGACTTTAATACGCATAACCAAACAACAGCAAAAACACAAGATACAAAAGATATAGTGGAGTGTAGAAATAACACTCAGCGTTTACGTTTACGTGGATTTTTTTATGGATTAATTTATATTTCTTTTTTAATTGGTGGATTTAGTATTCTATAGGCACAAATTGATAATTAGGTGTCCATGAAGCAAAAATGATCAAAGAGTAAGAAAAGAGTTGCAATTAGGAAAATAAAATCAAAATAGAAGAGAGGATCCCTCAACATCTTCGGTAGCGTCCACGAAGTCGAGCATAACTTTCTCATCCGGACTCCAAATCGACTGGTTCTGGCGGCATTAGAAAGCTATTTGAGCTGGCTACAATTCCTGTCTAATGTCAAATTTCCAAATTCGGACTCGAACATGGTCAAAATTGGATTCCAACAGTGATCATGAAAATACCCGCTACAGTTCGAGGACACAAATGCGCATCAAGAAACGTGCACAAAAACACTCGCTACAAAAGATACGCACATAAGTAAAAGTACAAAGTCATGCACAAAATTACTCACGCAAAACTGCATTCGCAAAAAGGATCATGAAAACGAAAACTACAATCCTAGGACATTAATACAAATCAACAAACATGCACAAACACACTCGCTCAAATGGACATGGACAAATGTACATGTAAAAAAACATGCGCAAAAGTGCATTCGCAACAACGTTCTTAAAAACACGAAGTACAACACGAGGACTTTAATACGCATAACCAAACAACAGCAAAAACACAAGATACAAAAGATACAGTGGAGTGTAGAAATAACACTCAACGTTTACGTTTACGTGGATTTTTTTATGGATTAATTTATATTTCTTTTTTAATTGGTGGATTTAGTATTCTATAGGTACAAATTGATAATTACGTGTCCATGAAGCAAAAATGATCAAAGAGTAAGAAAAGAGTTGCAATTAGGAAAATAAAATCAAAATAGAAGAGAGGATCCCTCAACATCTTCGGTAGCGTCCACGAAGTCGAGCATAACTTTCTCATCCGGGCTCCAAATCGACTGGTTCCGGCGCCATTAGAAAGCTATTTGAGCTGGCTACAATTCCTGTCTTATGTCAAATTTCCAAATTCGGACTCGAACATGGTCAAAATTGGATTCCAACAGCGATCATGAAAATACCCGCTACAGTTCGAGGACACGAATGCGCATCAAGAAACGTGCACAAAAACACTAGCTACAAAAGATACGCACATAAGTAAAAGTACGAAGTCATGCACAAAATTACTCGCTGAGAATTTGGTCACTGAAACTAGTTTTTCTTGTAGTGAAACTACAATCCTAGGACATTAATACAAATCAACAAACATGCACAAACACACTCGCTCAAATGGACATGCACAAATGTACATGTAAAAAAACATGCGCAAAAGTGCATTCGCAACAACGTTCTTAAAAACACGAAGTACAACACGAGGACTTTAGTACGCATAACCAAACAACAGCAAAAACACAAGAAACAAAAGATATAGTGGAGAGTAGAAATAACACTCAACGTTTACGTTTACGTGGATTTTTTTATGGATTAATTTATATTTCTTTTTTAATTGGTGGATTTAGTATTCTATAGGTACAAATTGATAATTAGGTGTCCATGAAGCAAAAATGATCAAAGAGTAAGAAAAGAGTTGCAATTAGGAAAATAAAATCAAATTAGAAGAGAGGATCCCTCAACATCTTCGGTAGCGTCCACGAAGTCGAGCATAACTTTCTCATCCGGACTCCAAATCGACTGGTTCTGTCGGCATTAGAAAGCTATTTGAGCTGGCTACAATTCCTGTCTAATGTCAAATTTCCAAATTCGGACCCGAACATGGTCAAAATTGGATTCCAAAAGCGATCATGAAAATACCCGCTACAGTTCGAGGACACGAATGCGCATCAAGAAACGTGCACAAAAACAGTCGCTAC